GTTTCAGAACCAGTGCCGTAACTTCGACCATTGGGGCGCTAGGGTAAAAATGTTCGGCCTTGGCCCTCTCAAAAATTTTCTGTACTCCATCTCTAACCGCCATTTTAGCTATTTATGTATCATGTTAGCGAATATATTTATGAAAAGTTACTTGTACACATATAAATTGGATTATAAAATATTGTAAGTTTTCCTCATGGCAAAATATAAAATTTGACCGAAATCGGTTAATCCTGAGAAATTAAATTTTAAAAATGCCGTACACATAAAACTCGACTTCTCAGGAACATTTCAACCAATTTCGCTCAAATTTTGTATTTTTCCATGTGAAATTAGAGACATCTGGCGACATTAAAGACATTATAAAAATGATAATTATTTATTGGTCTCAAATTTAAAAATTTCAACTCGTATTATGGAAATTGAAGGAAATTATAGACTTTTTTTTATCGGCATATATACCCACATTTTAAAAATTCACAATTGAAAGAATATTCTAAAGATTTTTCTCTTTATGCATCGATTTTATTACTTATAGTAATAACATTTTCTCGAATTTTTTGATGAAACTTTTGTATTAAAAATATTTTTTTTGTTATTTTTATTGTGTAAAGTATAAGTTGAGGTTAATTTTTTTGTATTGGAATAAAAATGACCCTTATTTATATAAATTATTGTGTCGGTGTATAAATGATATTCAATATGGTTTATTTCAAATAAAAGAGAACAAATATATAACGGATTTAGTGTTTCAGCTCTGTTCTACATAATATCGTTATCCTACAAGATAAGAATAAGTAGGTAGGCAGGTATTTTATTTACGTCGCACTAGAGCTGCACAATGGGCTATTGGCGAAGGTCTAGGAAACATCCCTGATGATGATGCGAAGACATGCCATCGCAATTTTGATCCTCTGCAGAGAGGATGGCTCCCCTGCTTTGGCAGCCCACTGACCTGCGAGCGAAGTCAAGCACTTCTCGGTAGAACAGTTTAACGAGAACCAATACCGTGTACCCTCGGTCCCTACTCAGGCTGATCAAAGTGATCACCCACCCGCTTACTGACCGCAACCAGTGATGCTTGACTTCGGTGTTCTACTGGGAACCGTGTCTTTACGATCAGTGCACTGCGGAATAAGATAAGAATAAAATAGTAAATTTAAAAGAAGATTAATTACTCAACCCAATCGTGCTATTTTGATGTTTTCTGAATTAACAATTTTTTGCACCATTTTTTGTCAATGAAAGCAAAGGATTTGAAATTAGTTTAATTTCAATAAAATAAAGATAATGCTGAGCTTAAAGAATCGATATAAGAAAGTCTCTCGTAAAAGTAGATAGAATTATCGAAACAACGAAATAAAGTATTTTTGCGAATAACTTTATTTTTTATTGACTGAAAAACAGTGATTTTTTTTTATTTAATCTAAAATACCTTAAATGATGAGATTTTTTCTGTTATTCTCAACGAAACAATATTTATAGCTCTTTTATTAAATGAAATGCTTTTTTTTTATTAAATTAAATATTTTTTGTAAAATTAAATATGATTCTTTTGTAAAATTAAATATGATTTTTTTGTAAAATTAAAAGTTGCATTTCACTTTTGAATGAAAACAAAATTGCTTAAAACATGAAAAATTCGAAGTTCCAATTTCAAAAATTTAAAGGTCTTGATAATTTAAAAATATATAAAATAAGAACAAATTCCACGCACACAATAAGCAGTAAAATTATGAACTAAAGTACTATATAAATGAAATTTGATATACGAACATTAAAAAAAGCAATTGTTAAGTGACCATTCATATAAAACAATTTTAACAGTACATAAATACACAGTTTTAAATGTATTAAAGGAGTTAATGCAAACATTTGCTTACCTCTTTAGAAATAAATTTACTTTTTTTTCGGTTGACCAAATAAACATTTTATTAAAAATGGGAATTATGAATATTATGATTTATGTTCCAAAAGAAATGACAGTTGAAAATATAATTTTAATCAAACTCAATTAAAGTTGAATTTTAATTTCAAAAATTAAACAAAATAAAAGTTAACAGAAAATTTATATCTGAATAAAAAATAATTAGTTTAAATGATGCAATTAAATAAGCTAAAAACTGGAATTTAACAGAGAGTATTGGAATGTTTGTTTCAGAAAAAATCTCTTTACAAAATGACCGAAATAAATGTCAACAAGAGTCATCCCCTTGGATCCCTTAAAAAGCTTGCATCTGTTTTCCTAGAACATCTAGATAATTGCTTGTTTAAGACAACTTATCGGACATTAAGATGGTTCTGTAAATATATGACGTTTTATAAAAGTACGAAAGAGCCCAGGGTCATAAAAATTATTAAGGCAATTTAAAGAAGCAAAAGGACATTTTCAGATGGTGTAAAATGAGATGGCTATTATTTGAGGAGTCGGATAACTGTGGGTCCCCTCTGTGGGTGGTGAAAAGCTAAGAGATGCTTAAAAATATATCTATTAGTCAGTGTAGGATGCATTTTGTTACTCTATCCAGAGTAGGGTAAAAGATTGGCAATCATTTTAGTTTTCTATACACTAGTTTTATTTTCTTATGCTGCGGTCTTCTTTTTTTAGTGCTGTGCTCTTCTTCTCTTTTAGTGTTTTAGTTTTAATTTTTTTTAATAAATTAAAAGTTATCATGCGTAGAAAAAAATTCAAAAGAAAAAAAAAAAAACAGTACTATAGGGGGGGGGGAGTTTTCGATTTTAATTTGGAAAATAGCTATTAAGTTGGAAAAAAAAGTCGTTTTTTTGGAAAATAGCTTCAAAGATTTTTTTAAAAAAATAGCCAAATTTACTTGACAATTTTATTGCAAATGTCTAAATTTCAGAAGATACAAAACACTTAATTGCCCCCCCCTTATTTTAATGTCAGAAAAAAATAAAGTTTTCTAACCCCTCATTATAATTTAAGAAGAAAATGAAGTTTTCTATTTGGAAAATAGCGTCGAAGTTTTAAAGCAAAACATTTTTTTCTAAAATTTTCAACTTTTCTTGATTTTATTCTATTAATGTCTAAATTTCAAAAGATGCGAAGCAGATTCCCCCCCCCCCTCACTTTTTTTTCAGAGGTAAACAAAGTTTTCTGTTTGGAAAATAAATTCAAAGATTAAATTTTTTTGGTTACCAATTTTTCATGACTTTATTTTTGCGCACATCGAAATTTCAGAAGGGGTGAGACACTTTGTTTGCCCCCTCATTAATATTTCGGATGAAAATAAAGTTTTCCACACGGAAAATGGAGCGTAAATTGAATACAAAATATTTTTCTACTTTATTTTATTTTTCCAAATCTCAAAAAGCACATTATTCATCCATTTAGTTTAATTTCAGAATAAAATAAAGTTTCCTACTTGGTGCATAGCCTGAAAGTTGAAAAGGAAAAGCTTTTCTTTTCTCTAAAACTAATAATTTTATTTCATTTTGTCTTGGCGAATGACTAAATATCAAAAGGGGCAAAGCATATTAATTCAACCCCCCACTTAAATTTCAGAGGAATATAAAGTTTTCTATTCGAAAAATTGCTTCAAAATTGAAAAAAAATTGTTTTTTTTTTTAATTACCGATTCAACTTGACTTTATTTTTGTGAGTGTCTAAATTTCAGGAGGGGGGAAACACATTGTATGCCCCCTTACTTAAATTTTAGAGGGGCTCTCTACCCCCCCCCAGTTGTCACACCACTTTGACTTTGTCTCACACTAGAAAGTAGAGGAAACAACTAAGTAAGACAGAAGTACAATATACAGAAAGTGTTAACAATCACTACATGTAGTTGTGGCCTTTTTCCCCGCTCTGCGAAGCTTGTTAGTTCCTCTCAGAAAGGTAAATAATTTATTATGTTATGTTAAAGTAGATATGCAATTACAAAAAAGAAAATTTTCAACAATTTTACCTTCACACAATTTATTTCCTATATATATATATGTATAAATAAAAGAGGTCAACTTAATTTTGGAAAAATGTGATGTGGTCCCTTCATATGGGGCTCCCTTGTCCGTAGGGGCCCAGGGACGGTGTCCCGATTGACCCGGTGTAGTTACGGACCTGTTCAGAACTGCTTCTTGTTTACATTCGATGCAAAGATTAATCCTGGAGGAGGTAATGTTTACGTTTGGCTTCAATCTTGATTAATATTTGACTTAGATGTCACAAAATGGAAAGTGACTCCTTTTTAGCATTAATCCTATGAACTTTACAGATCAATATATATTACTAATCTCATTTTATCCCCATCCTCTCCAAGAAAGCATTACGCAGCTCTAACTTGGCGCAAATAAAGTACTATTATTACAACCCCTTCCAAGGAGGGTTAATTTTTTCAAGTTAAAGCGGATTTCACACAATTCCAAGTTATAGTAACAAAAAAAGAAAGATTTCTTTTCACTTTTTCATGTTTTGCACTTTTCGATCACTTTTGCAAGGTTCCCAGCAGATCACCGAAGTCAAGCATCACTGGCTGCAGTCAGTGTGCAGATGGGTGACCACTTGCATCAGCCTGCGTAGGGACCGAGGGTGTGCGGTATTGGTCCGCGATAAACTATTCTACCGTAAAGTGCTCCACTTCACGTGCAGGTTGTCGGGTTACTGAAGCGGGGGTGCCATCCCCTCTGCAGAGGATCAAAATTTTGATGGCGTGTCTTCGGATCATCCTCAGGGATGTTTCCCAGACCGTCGCCAATGGCCCATTGCGCAGCTCTAGTGTGACGTAAATGAACAACAACAACAACCATCACTTTTGCTTAATTTCATTTCAATAAAAAAATCAAAAATAACCTACGAATTTTTTCTGCATATGCGCACTTCCGGATGGTTGGGATTTTAAGTCATCGTTTAACAGCAATGGGAACGCTGTATCTGTACACAGTGATACGCGTTGTGTAAGGGACATTCTCCTTGAAAGTTCTACACGCACCTCCGATTATTGCAAAAGAAAACGCAGAATCTGATTGGCTAGTGTTTTGCGGGAAGTGTGTGTACAGCATTTACTTTGACTTCTACTATTTCCATTGGAAAATGTAAATAAACATTCAACTTCGTGATCTTGACTTTAGTATCAAAATTTTTATACTTCTAATGTTTCGAATTTTGTACATCTTTTTTTGCATCTATTAGGACTTATATGTTGTTCCATCTATAATAAGTGTATATCATTTATGTATTTTCTAATTGTTTTCTCGTCATAATTAATTATATCAACGAAAGTTTATGTTCTATGTTGTATATACTTCATATTTCTAAATAAAACTATAATTAGTTTCTTATATCAATTTTTTACTTTCTAGATTTGGCTTCTTGATATTTGAAACCAGTGACTGCTTTTGTTTCAAAATGGTTTTAAGGTTTTTAATTAGGTGAGTGTATGCTTTATTGTAGTAATTATCTATATTTAATTTCTGAAGATATTGATTTAATTGGATTTCGTTACGGAAGTTATTTTGGACAATTGTTGCATTAACCTAGTTAGATGAAAATGAAATTAAATATTATGGTGAAAATATCTTAGAACATTTCCGTACACTATTTATTTACTAATTACTTGTTGGAACTTTTTGAAGTATAGGTAATATTACTTGATTTCATAAGAGCAATTCTGAAGTTAAGATTTTATTAAGATGACAAAGTATTTATTACTTCTTAGTAATTTTACAATATAACTGTGCGCCTGCAATTTTTAATAATTTATTTTCAACTAAATAAATTACGACATTCTTTTGATTATATAATGTGAAATCCTGAGGAATGAAGAAGAGTGAGGATTTGATTTAGGTTAATGATGCTTACGTAAAAATCATTATTACCAAAATGTAATACTAAGGATCAATTAGTAGCTTTTATTAAAAAAAACTTAAAAATTCAATCTGATGCGAGTTTTTAAAATTTACAATATATTTAAATATATCATTAATATTTAACGTAATGAAACTTATTTATTCTGTACTATGTATGTTACCTTCCAAATTTTAATATATATGAACTTTTTATACTAAAAAAGCTGTAAAAAATTGAGTCTAATTAAAAGATTTTTGAATTGCTAGTGTATCTGTATAATGTAAAATATTATTAGTCATCTTTTTAGGGTTAGTAATTTTGACATAGTTTATTGTTGTTTAGTGTAGATTTTATGAGACTTAATTAGAAATCACTGTTACTAAAAATTGTTAACGTTTCACATTTGTAATAGACATACATACCTTACTAATAAAAGAAGTAAGCTGTTAAACTGGTTGAGTCGCATTCAGAGTTATGTACTTAGATCTTGCAAAATAAGTTATTCTTAAGAACACTTTTTTTTAAATTTGAATTTATATGATGTCTATAAAGTAGCCTATTGGCTGTAATGTTTAATTAATTAACTAGGCAGATCATGCCAATAATTGGGTGTTGCTAGTCAAACTTCCTATATTTTGTTTACGTTTTGGCTTTTATTTAGTCCTATTTGAAAAATTTTGCTGCTTGCCCATTATAAGCAAGGTTATCGAATGCTGTACCATATCACTCATTTTTACCTCATGGTTTGTGATTTGCATATATTTTTAAATCAGATGCAATTCTAATAGTTGACTCTCATTATTTGTGTAGGCATCCATATTATGTAAATTGTGTGAGAGTTTAACTGGAGCTGTCACTTGCACCTCAATGTAAGGCTTGTTACAAAATGTTAGTTTCTAACCATTGATTTCTGTTATCTTGCACTTCACCATATTTCTTGTATGTGTTACCTTTTCGACACTCATCATGTTGCTTCTTCACTGTGCGACATTTATCATTTAAGCAATGGATGCATCATCGTGAGTGTCTGCGTTTTGATTTGCATGCAATTATTCCGGCCCCCAGTCTTAACCTTGCTCTCTCTTAACAGTTAGTGTGTTGCCCTGGTGTGTAGTAATTGTCCCAAGAGCAGTAATTGTTTTCATCAGTTTGGCTTCTAGCCATTTAGAATATGAATTCTTTATTATTAAAAATAGTATCAAACCTTAGCATTAACTTCCATTGCCAGAGGTGATTGTGCTCCGGAAAAAGTGTAGATATTTCGCTAACTGCGATCCAGAAATCCAAGGTTCAGAAATTTCAAGAAATCATTGATTACATTTATGCGTCAGAATTCTTGTATATTTTATTTAAAAATATTGGAACTGGAATTTATACTTGGCATCTCTTTCATTTGTAAATATTTCTTATGAGTGAATAATAAATGTTATTAGCGATAAAAATAAACTTATACAAAATTATTAATTTAAATTATGCTGCATTCAATTTATTAAGAATTTCTTGTTGTGAAAATATCAATGATTTAAATTTATAAAGACGTTAATTTTTTTAAATGCATCATTAATGATTTTACTCAAGAAATTTTCAGGGTTTTTTAGTTGAGCTCACAATCACCCCTGCATTGCAGACTTTAGAAAAATTTTGCCGTCTAGTTCCAATATGTTTGGCTATTCAATGTGTCTCAACTTTTTATGCTACTCAGGACCTTATAATCTCTTTCAATTCTCTATGAAAGAAAATTGAGAACTTGTTAATAGACCTGTCATTTAGGATGCTATCTTAAAAATTGCCACATTACATAGCAAAGTAAGCTGCACAAAGGCATTGAAGCATTTTTCAAGGATATTGTTTTCATTCTTTTATGCATACAGTTGGTTGTAATAAGCATACGAATAAAATTAATAAGATAATAAAAATTGTGATTGTTAGACATATCCTTTAAAGTGTGGAAATATTCATGTTAATTAAAAAAAATTTTAGCATTGCAATTGCTATAAAATATCATAAGACTTTTTTTAAAATGTAGTGACAATTGTTCTATTTGAATTATACAGTGTGAAAAATCTTCCTCTATTGCTTTTACATTTTTAAATATTGAATTTAATTTTTATAAGTTTTGATACTTTTGGTCAATTATCTTAATATCACTGTGTTGCTACTCTCAATTACTACAAAATAAAGTTATTTAAATTTAAAAAAATTTTATTTATTTTTTTTAATTTTTTATAATATTGTTTTTTACTCCAATTGATTTATTTAATACTTGGCTTTAAAATGTTAATTTTTCTATTTTGTTTATGCTGTTTACAAACTTGATTAATAATTGTATTCCTTTTTATTATGTAGTAAAACTATTGATTGAAAATTTTTAATATTACTTAGGTACTTGGCAAATAATGAAAAATTGATACAGTCGGTAAGATTTGTTTATTTTCTTTACTGAGTACAATAAAAATAAATATTTTGTAACCAACTAAGTCCTTAGCCATGATAAAAGGGAAGCGCAAGACTTTACCAAGTCTTTACTGTAGCACAGTCTATGTCAGGGATGAAAAGATAGAAGTATTCTGTATCCTCAATATGAGGCTATGAATCAATCAAGAAGTTTCCTCAAAATGAGGGGGTAGTATAGGTTAGAGCTCCAGGTCACTTTTTGCTTATCAGCTATATTTGTACATCCCTGGTCTACATGAATGTGGTATTTAGTCGGTTAGAAGAGATTCCCACCTTAAATGTACATCATATTCAAGGAGCATAGATACAAATTTTCTAGTCCTCTTTTTGCAGAATTGAAAGATGGTTTTTTCTTTTATACTTGCTGTCTTCAATTCCCCTTTTTTTCCAAGATGGGAGGAGGTAAAAGATGAGGGTTAAATCATTTGTCTTAACTATCCTGTTATGATTTAAAAAAACAACTGGAAATGGTTCAGAAATCTGTGACTGGTGAGGTTATAGCTGTGGAAAAAAAATTGTCTGCTAGTATGTCATTATGATGACATTGTTCCAGTTATATGAAGAGGCATTGGTTTTAAAGTGAAATTGTCCAATACATGTGCATCTTTGTGATGAAAAAATCATTATTGCATAGGTTATTTTAAGCAAAAACTTGATTTATTATTGAGTATTATTAAAGTTAACTAAGAATGACCATGTTAAATAAAAATAAAATGGTAAGCAGCACTCTTATAATAAAGTGGAGGAGATGCATTTTTAAACTCAATGAAATTTTTGTGTCAATTAATAACGTTTAGACTGAGGGATGAAGCCCCTCAGTCCTAATGCCAAGAATTTTGAATTAGTAGAGACTGAATTTTTCCTAACTACCTCTTAGGAACAGGGGAAGAGGTCAATAGTTGGGGATTTATCAAAAGATAAAATAACCGAAAGCAAAGTTGACTCTGTAATACTAATATTAAAATTTAGATGATTTTACTATAGCTTAATCACCAAAAAGACCATGAGATTTAATATTACCCTGTAACTAAGGCATTTTTGTGGTTAAAGAAATAAAAGCAGCTTAAGGAATAAGAAGTTAAAAATAGATTTTGATATTTAATTTACTCACAACATTGATTTAATGAATTATATATTTGTATTGAATTTTAAAAAAATTAGCCATTGCATTGATTGTTAAGAAGAGAATAAACTATTTATGTTTGCTTTAGATAAATTGTAATAAAATTAATTATTGATTTAATTTAATTAAACAAGAATAAAAAAATTACATTTATGAAATTAAAGAAATTTTAAAAGCTAGGAAATATGTAATTGCGTGGCATCACATATACATTTGTATCGAATAAAAAAAAAGTTAGCCATTACATTGATTGTTAATAAGAGAATAAAATATTTAAATTTGCTTTTTGTAAAATGCAATGAAATTTAAATTTATGAAATTAAAGAAATTTTAAAAGCTGGGAAACATGTAATGCCTTTATGGCATCACAGGGATTATTTATTTATTTATTTTTTTTTAACATATTTGCGTGGACAAATCAAGTATTTCTATTTGAATGCCTGCTATTACTGCTGCTCATTATCCAAACAGTCTTTAGGGGATTCGAGTCTGTTTCTGAATAGCCCTCCTCTCTTCTTGCTTCTTTTCCTTAGATTTCAAAAAATTATTTTTTATCTCTTTCTAATCCTTTTCTAGTCTCCAACCATTGTCTTCTTGGTCTTCCACCTTAAAGCCTCTAGATTTTCAATCTAAGACCTATTTTTTTTTTATGGTTTTGTTGGTACTCATCCACTGAATGTAACCCAACCACTTCAGTCATCTATTCTTTATATGAGTGACAATAGCAATGTTTCCACAGTTTTTCATAATTTTTAAATTATTTCTAATTCTCCATACACTAATGTCATTGACAGGTCCAAAAATTCTCTGTACCAGATTAAGAAATGATCTCAATCTTTTATCCAACTTAGATTTAATAATTTTATAAAAATAGCCCAGACTTTGGAAAAATCTTATACAATAGTATTTTGCTTTTAAGTGCAAACAAAGAGCACTTTAATGGTGTTAGAATATTCCAAAAAGTCTATTTATTTATTATTAACTTGTTCATTATCTCAACTGATATATCGTCATTTTAAGTAATTATTAAGCCCTAATTGTTTTACTCATTCAAAATATTCCTCACCTAGTGTTAAACTTTGCATGTTGTTACATTTATATTTGTCTCTGTTGGCAGTTGGTTATTTATTTTACTTTCATTGACTTGTAGTCCCACCTTGATTGCTTCCCCTCTTATATGCCCTTATCCTTTGCCAGACTATCATATGTTCCTCCAACATGATTAAAAATATTTGTATAAGCAAGAAAATTATTCCTTTTTGTTTGATTATTCCATATCCTTTCACTTTTTCTCAGGCACAAATTAAAAACCCTAAGTGAGACTTGGTCTTCTTGTCTTAATTCTTATATGTGTGAAAAATTTTATTAGCAATCTTCTTTTTATGTGAAAAATTTAATCGTGATCTGAATTTTTGTGAAAAATTATAATTTTATCTAAAATATATTTTTATTATAAAATTGAAAAATTGTGTAAATTATCCAATGAATATTTGAACTTAGAGGATTTTTACATTTGTAATTTATTTTATTTATTTATTTATTTTGATATTTTTTTATTCTAATTTTTGAGGAGACTAAGTGTGCAAACATAATTTTGTAAATCAGTCAAAATTAAAAATTTTAACTTTTGATAATTTTTACATTTGTCATTTTTTTATTGTTGTTTTTTGGAAAACCTAAGTTTGCAGGCATTATTTTCTTGAATCTGCCTATCAATGATAGTAAAATCAACCTGTGTTAATTTCTAATTTATAATAACAAGAGTATAAGTCTGTATTATTATGATGGGCATTTAATCCTGAATTTCATTCTCTACTTTTTGTTTTTGTATCAAAAACCTGTTCACCGTTTAATAGTGTTAGTGGAATCAAAAGTCACTTAGGAAATAATTCCTTCATAACATTGAATCAACTCATGAAAATATTTTTTGCTTTACTTTAATAAAGTAATGCATAAATTCATTTGCCTTTATGAAATTGATTTGTTCTTGAAAATTTTTAATAAAAGATTAAAGTCTGTTTAAGGTTTTAAAATATAGCCTTATGTTTATGTCTATTGTAATATGGTTTGGTGTTTGTTTTATAGCTAGCTGACTCATACCCAATTCGACAAGCTGCACGTGTAACTGCCAGGTTTATGATGAGAGCTAAATTTTATCGTAAGTATTAAAAAGCATGATTACCCTGCCAATTTTCAACTACATACATTTGTAAAATAAAAAGTTTCAATTTTGTTTAACATTAAAATGAACTCAAATAGCTTTTTTTTGCAACCAGATATCGCAAAACATTTCATTTACTTTGTTTATATAATTTTTATTTTGATGAGTTAAATAAATTGTGTACAAATTTTTCAGCTTTTTGAAACTTGAATGTTAAAATTAAAGAAACTTAACTGTAAAGAATTTGTTATTCTGTAGAGCTAGAATATACAAGATTAATAACATTCCTGTAAGTTGCTGTAAAAATATAGTTTGTTTTATCTCTAAAAAATAGCAATTATTAATCTACAAAACTGTATTTTATACTAGATTATATCTTTTGGATTGAAAAGAAAAGGTTTTCTAAAATTAATTTCCTAAAGTTAATTTAAATAAATGAAATCACTTATTATAATCTTAAATAGTTTATCCAACTCTTGATAGATAAAAGGAAAATATCAACACATTCATTATAAATAGGCAGTCCTTTACTTTTGAACTATCTACAGGCATGGATAGTTGATCCAATACTTTACATGAACAGGCATCAATCTACACATGACTTATACATTGATGCAGTATTATACTATATTATATTGATGCAATATTGAGTTAAACATATCTCAGAATTGTACATAGTGATTGAAAGGAATTAACATAAAAAAAAGAAAGGACTCAAAACATTAACTTTTAAGAGAATTCTTTAAAAAAAAAAGTTATTGCCCCAGAAAAGTAGTGCAATTTTAAAACATATGTTTTAAAATTTTGATTACTATTTCAGTTCAAAAATAATGTTCATGAATAAGTATTTAAGCATTTTAGAGTAAGATTTTATCCCTTCATAATTTTGTGGAACTCAATATCACTTGACAAATGATTGCTTGTTTTTAGGAATTGAAGCTTCCTCTTCAACCATACAATATAATTGCATCAAGTTTGGTACTTGTGAAATGGCTAATATGAAATGAAATGTTATTTTTAGACTTTTTATGCTATATATTATTCTGCACTTAACATGATTAGAACTGCATTTTTAAATTAGTACATTTGTTGTTAAAAGTGGCAGCTTAATTTTTCATTGCAGTTGAATAATCGGTTGTTACTTAAATCAGGTTGTTACTTTACATGTGGGGCTAACATTTTTCATTATAAATTGTGCCTGTGCAGAAAGAATTAATAAGTGAAATTTGTAAAGAATAAAATATAATTAATAATCATATTATTCTCTTTCAAAAAAAAATATAGAGAGATTGTATGAATTCCTTTTAAATTTCATGAAGAAATAGAGGAAATCTTACATATTTCCATAAATGGAACAATATTGTTTTTCAATTTATTATCAATACATCATAACTGACAGACATTTTACCACTTCCTTCGCAAAGAACTACTCAAATTAAGAATCTTGACCAAATTACTGCTTCTGAAATCCAAAAGTGTTCAATATTTATGTGTGATTTTTTCGGAAGCAAAAACATAAATAAAATTTAACCCAATTTTGTAAGTTAAATTTTTGTGAGCTAGTTAGCTGAGACGTTTTTAATTGGCTTCAAAATAACAATACATGCATGAAATAACAAATTTTATTTTATATTTTAGTTGATATAAGGAAATAGTTGTTTTAATATCTTTGACTGTCACTGAAATACTTAATGCGATATTAATTAAAGTATAATCTTTCATTACAATTTTGTTGCACTTCCATTGAAACTCATATCATTCGATTTGCTTCTTTATACGGAAGGACCCATGTACAGTAGAACCCATTTATCTGTGGCGACACATATTTTGACCTTGCCACATATTTGACAAACTAGTGATCTCGGATGTACATTAGATTTTCGAATATGCCTTTCTTTTCCTTAAATGATGCCTATAGAAGTTGAAAACAGGGAAGGAAATTTCTCATATCTCCATTAAATACCACCTTTTAGAAGGAGAATCCATCTATTTGATTTCATCAAAGTGAAAGCCAATTCATTAATTGTGGCAGTTCTCAAGAAATTACTAAGTATTACACAGTTGTTAGAATTGAGACTGACATTTTGTCACAGGTAAGTGACAGTGAACCTACTCCTAGTGCTACTGCTTATGAAACATGAAAATTTTGCCTAATACAGACATTGTTAGACTCCAAAGAATGTAGATTTTAAAAATTATTAGAACTTGGCAATCAAAAACCATCTGCTTTACTAATACACATGCAGGAGTTGATAGATGAGTGATAAAGTTGGTAAAGACTTGTTAAAATCTTTAGGGCTTCAATAATCGCCTAATCAAATGCAAGCAACTCTAGGTACTTCTGTGATGAATTAAATAGACTGCACTTATGGCTGATAAAATAGAAAATGTAACATCTGTTTCCACTATAAATGCCACAGAATCAAAAATGCGATAATTTTACTCGAAATATTAATGACATGCACAAGAAATTGAAATAAATAATGAAGAGGACAAGCTTCTAATACATGCCCACAATAGATCATGTTCCAGAAAACAAGAAAATTCGACAAACTTTTCAGCAGTATAACACTAGGTTTTGTTGGTAACACTCTAAATTTAGTGATAAATCTACAAAATGTATCAAACCTTAATCTTTTCAGGTAAACTAATTGGCCAAGCATGTGTGGTGAGGAGCGCTGAAAACTGTAATAACTGACATCCTTGTAGTTTATTAAAAATCATTAGGTTAAAATTTACTTGCGGGCACAGATGGAGATTTAAGTGTTATACTTTCTACTTTTTCAAAACGCAAGAAACCTATAACTCCATTGAATTTAGTAGCTGCTAATAGCTCAAAAATTAACATATTTGGGTAGCAGTTAAATTTAGATATGTCTATGCCATATATTTCCTTAGACATTTACAATTGCCGATGTTTCCCGATTAATTCGAGGTGAGGACTTTCTACATCATTACAGTATTGGCAATTTATTTAAAAACAAACAGTCTAGTAGACCGTTTGGCTGATGCTACTACTATTGGAAAAATTTCTTGAGAGTCGTCACCAAAAATTATTGCTCTCTATCCATCTTTAAAATTTAACGAATTAATTAAGGAGTATAAATCTTTATTGTAAGACGTTCTTAGATTTCTATGTAAAAATCATTATTCTCCTACTGTTAAGCACATAATAAAAACTAAAGTATCTCCTGTTGCTGTCAAGGCTAGACAATAAGCACCCCGCAAATTCGCTGCTGAAAAAGCAGAATTTGTGTATTTAGTTTGAAAAGGCATATGTAACCCTTCAAAAAGAAGTTAGAGTAATCCATTGCAAATGGTTAAGAAACACAATGATTCATGGAGACCATGTGGCTACTACTGTGAACTTATGTCTAGATAATTACCCATTACGACACATATGATTTTTCGTCAAATTTACATGGGAAATCCATATTTTCTACTCTAGATTTAAAAAGCTTTCCATCAGGTGCCTATAAATGAAGAAGGCACCCAGAAAACTGTAATTATAAAGTCATTTCATTTACTTAAATTCAATTACATGACTTTTGATTTAAGAAATGCTGCACAAACTGTGCTTCGACTGCTGGACAGAGTTTTGGGCGGTTTTGATTAGTGCTTTATATATACATATATATAAATGAAATTTTAATAGCCTTTTCTTCTATCAAGTTCAAGAAGTTTTTGACTGTTCGTGAAAGTATAAACTGACTAACAAATTACCAAACATTTCTGAAAGAGTAAAGTATTTGGAACACTCAGTTGATAAAGAAGGCATAACTCCTTTACCCAGAAAAATTACAGTCATAGAAAATTTCCCAAACCAACTAAATGTGACTGAATTGTCAAAGAGATATGCTGAAAGTATAAATTAACTAACAAATTACCTAAACATTTCTAAACGAGTAAAGTATTTGGAACACTAAGTTGATAAAGAAGGCATAACTCCTTTACCCAGAAAAATTGCAGTCATAGGAAATTTCCCAAACTGACTGAATTGTCAAAGAGATATGCTTGAAAATGTATTGCAGTCTGCCACTTTATATATGAACTCTAGGACTGACATTCTTATAAGTATTTTCATTAATCTTGTAGTTTTAAATAGCCATTTATTTGATGAGACATTCACAGGTTATGGTATGAATCCAGCTGTGTTTTTTAAATTTTATTCTAAATTCTGTGTTTTAATATATATTAAAACTAAGACTAAATGCCGTTTTTTTTTTTTTTTTGAGTGAATGTTATTTATGATAAATTAAAAATATTTTTGTCATACTGTAGAAGAGAAAACTTTGGAAAATATTAAGAAGAATTCTGCTGAATCTTTATCAAAATCAGAAGGATTTGATTTTTCATCTTTTTTATCTCATCAAATAGAGGTATTTTCTAAATAACATTTAATTATATTATATTTATTACTCTATGCTTTTCATCTTTTATTTTGTTTGTTACTATTTTGTGTAGGTTTATACAGAGTTACCAGCATGATTTATAAAATTCACTTTGTCTTTGGTTGAAACTTAGAGCATTAGTAAGATTCTTTTAGGGTATCCAATCCTTAAATTAAGAAAGTGCATTGACCCAGGGCTAAAGAGAATAGAAGGGCTGGTTCACTCCTTTGTAGTATCTCTTGCCGCGCCGATCCTCCGACGTCACTCTAGTGACGTCACTTTGGCGCAAAGCTCGCACTTTTACTTCAAGAACGGAGCGTTTGGCCTTACTAGCTCTAACTAATATTGGATCATTTCTTTTTGCGAGATATTCTAAGACATTTGTTATTTTCTATAATGACTTTCCTCAGTTTTTGCAGTGAATTTACAAGAATTTAAAACTATTATCGAAATGCCAGTTTGCGCGATTGCAACTTGCAAAAATTCTGATATAAAAACAAAAGGAAAAAGTATAATTTTTCGCGTGTTCCCTAAAGTAAATGAACAACTATGTAAAGAATGGATTCCGAAATGACACAGTTAATATAAAACAGCAATACGTTTATTCTGTCGTAAAGAACTTTTATAAAAATTCATTATCTAAATAGAAACCGCCTCGTTACTTCATAAAGAAAGGCAGGTGAAAAGAATTAAAAAATAGATAAAGTCAAAGAAAATTAAAATGTAAGTAAAAAGTATAAATAAAATATATAGTATATAGTTGAAATTCTCCTAATTTCATAACATATTTTTTAATGTAGTTATTCTAAATATTTATGATTTTTTTTAAAAATTATATTCTCTTCAATTTAAATATCTATAAATTATATCATCGTAAATTTAAATGTCTATAAACAATTGTAAAATTTCTAATGTCATTATGAACCTAAATTATTATTTTGTTTCAGTAATTAGCGTTTAAGGTTGATGTTTCCTAATGATTAAGTATGAACAAATTGCTATTAACGACATATTTTAAAATCAGGGATTCTAAATTTAACTTAACTTATCTTTATAAAAGAATATGTAGATAAAAAAAGTGTCGATATATGCCTTCATTTTTCTTAATAGTTAAAGTTAAAACTGAACTTTTTAAAATAAAGTATTTATCGTGTCATTTTCACCAACTAGCAAAACATTTTTATAAGTTTAAAATGGTATTTTTTTAATATAATAACCAAGAAAGTTTTTTTTGAACTATGTTTATGAACGGAAATAATGTGTTAATTACGTAAAGTTTGAAGGCTAATAACCAGAAAAAGTCTAACTTATTTTTACAAGAGAAAGATGCAAAGTTATCATATCTTTGCTTGCGATCTCCGAGATCTGTAGACACAGTGACGTCATGAGGAGGGAAATCGTAGCTTCAGCTCTAAGAGCGGAGTGAACTAGCCCTTGTATTCTCTTTAGCCCTGGCATTGACCAGCCAATTCTGAATTATTTGAAAGTTTAAGCACAGTTTACATAGTCATTAAGTTTATTATTTTTTTTAATTAACAAGGCTACATTAGCCTACATGGCGACCATTACTGTAATGCCTTCTTGTCAAGATGCTTACAGTTACTGTGCTCTATCCGACAATCTTTTTTTTTTTTTAATTGCCAACATTTTTTATAAATCTGCTTAGAATTATGTAAAATTTGAATATCATTATTTTTATATTATTAATCATTTTTGATTTTTAAATTAAAATTAAAAATAAGATTTGTAATAAAATAACTATGGATATAGCAATAGCTTTATATATTCTTTATAAGGTCTATCCTACAGAAATAAGACCACCTTGATGCCATAACTAAACATGAAGCTAACTAATGACAATTTAACATATTTATTATGAAAGTCTATATACGCATACATATTTACTAATACTCTATTATTTCCTGTGCACCTGGGCAGGGAAAAGAATCAAATATTCAAAAAAGGAAATGAAAAATTGTCCAACCAAAATAAAGCCACTACTGTTAATGGCCAATACATCAGATATGTTTATGCATAATTTTAAATATATTATTTTGCATACAATTTACCGATTTATAAAATAGAAGAGAAGTTTTAACAATATCAGCAATCAATTCTGCCTTAAACTGAAACTCTTTCTGCCCTACTGAGGATAGTCCCTCTGTGAGCTGATCATAATACATAGTGATTAATAGATACCTGAAGTCAAGCATCACTGGAAGTGGTTGGATAACCACTTTGATCAACCTGCAAAGGGACAGAGAATGTGCAATATTGGTGGTCGTTAAACTATTCTGAAGTAAAGTACTCAACTTTGCATGCAGATTATGGGGCTACCAAATGGGGAGAGCCATAACCTCTACAAAGAATCAAAATTGTGAGGACATGTTATCAGATCAGCTTCAGAGATGTTTCCCTGGCCATCACCAACAGAACATTGTGTAGCTCTAGTGTGACATAAATAAAGTAATACCACTACTACCCTTTGAGAATATCCTCTACATTTTCTTAGAAATTAAGTTAAGGGAGGAAAATAGGTCATTTCATGAAATGCACCCTATTACTCCCAAACCATTCTCCTGTAGATTTTGCAATCTGAAAGGGAGTAATGTCCTGCAGAAAAATCCAATTCGGGTCACCATTTTTCTCTGTGAATAGTTGTAAAATGGTTTCTAGCATTTTTTCGTAACTGGGAAAAAGCCAATCTAAGTTTAGAACCATATCGAAAGACTTTCCCCACCATTACTGCACCTCCACCTTTCTGTTTTATAGAAAAGATTTCATCTTTTTTTTCTCTTGCCATAGCAATAGATTGCAGAATCATTCAGGCAATTTAAATTGCATTATTTTTCTCTTGAGATTTTGACGTGACTCCCCCAGCTGCTATCTTTTGCAAGGTTGCCACTCCACTGGGAGAACAAGAAAAACCTTGAAAATACAGGGAATTTAAAAATCACCTAAAATAACAGGGAAAATGCAGGGAAATTTGATTTTTCCTTTACTAACTGGGAAAATATAGGGAATTTTGTTTCTTATTTTTATCTTTTAAAAAATAGTGACCACTCAAAGTGTAATCTATGGAATATTTAACCATGATATTTCAGCTATACTAAACTATATAATTTACTATAGCATTATTTAAGTATGTTCAGCTGTTTTTCCAGCAATTAAAACTAATAAATATAGTTAGCCCAATATAGCTTTCACAAAAGCGCATTAGTTGTTGTTTCCTCTTAATATATTGTGTATAATATAATATGTACAGAGAAAACGCCTGGAATTTTTTTCCAGATTTGAGTGGCAACCCTGTTTTGCTTTTAGATAATTTTCAATATGGACTGCTGCTTTTTTTAATTTTATACAAATTGCTTGTAGGATATTAAAAAAAAAACAATAGATAAGAAGATAAAAAAAGAAGCAAAAATCTTCAAAAGACAGAAAGGTGGAGACTCAGGTGTGAAAAAGATTCAGCTATGGTGTCATAGCTAACCTTGCTTTTCCACTGGCTGAATGACAGCTACCAATTGCCAAATAAATCCTAGAAACCCATTTACTACCATTTTTTAGAGAAAATTGATTACTTAAATTAGATTTTCCTGCTGTAAAACACCTCAGTTAATGTTGCAAAATCTTGAAGTTTTTATGGACAGTAAGGTAGATGTCATAAAATTGTCTGCTTTCCCCCCCCCCCCCCCNTGTAAATTTATACTACCCCCCCCGATCTCAATTATAAGAGCAGGTGTAGAGGTGTCCTCAGTAGAGTTGCTTATGTATCTCAATGACAAACACTATCAGCCCATAGCAGAGTTGAGAATTGCCATCAGCGAAACCTGGGATAATATTGGTTGTGATATCTTCCAGTATGTAAAGTAAATAGTCTTCAATAAGTGGTACAAAGCATTATATATTTGAAGTCTTTTATAAACATGCCCTATATATTGGCTATTACCCGTAATGGTAATATTTTTTTTACGTATATAAATTTTTTCTTACCTATGTGGAGCAAGAAGTGAGTAATTTCAAGTAAATATGTATTAATATATGTAGAGATTCCCTTAGTATAAATGTTTTTGGTCATTGGTTTCCTTTAGATCTAATTACAGCAGAAAATCAAGATGGCTTTACTTTAGTAGGACACACCTTAATAATAAAAGAGGTAGATTTTTTTTCGTTATATATTTTATTAGTATATTTTGTTAAAAGAACCTTGACAACAATTGCACATTGAAAGCTAGACATTTTTCAGCATTTTAACAATTTAGAAAAGCTGACTGTTTACATTGACAGCATTGTTGAAGTGTATCTGTTTGAAAACATAATTCCTTAAAATCAGTAGGACTGGGTGATGCATGAAATTTTTCTTTGTGATATATCATCTGTTAAACATCAGGATATAACTTACATCCATTTATTGATTTTTTTAAAAAAATAAAATAAATCTATTACAAAAGAAAATGTTAAGTATAAAAAAGGCTTTTATAACATCTGTAACATTCCTTAATTTTTTAAATTAAAATAATGGATTGACTTACTGTAAAATTATTAAAGTAAAAAGCATAAGTTTTGTTTCAAATTTTTTTTAAATTATAAATGACTAAAAATTTAATGGTTTAAAAGTAATAATTTGATTTTATTTAACTTACGTGTATTGTATGACTTTTTTTAAAAATAGAGAAAGATAAGTAAAAACAAGTAAAATTAATTGTACATTTAAGTAAAACAAATTTTTAAATTATTTTATGGAAAAAATGTTCGAGTACTATTTATATATTGCTTGATCTTCTTTTCATTTATTTATTTAAAATAATAAAATTGTCTTGAATAATGGTCAAATCCCATACATATTAAACACAAAAATAAATATAATTTTTTTTTGTTACTTATTTATCTTTCTTTTTTTTTTTTTTTTTTTTTTTTTTTTTTTTTTTTTTTTTTTTTTTTTTTCTTTTGAAAATAAGATGAATTTAAGATTTATTAATTAAAAATATACTATATTTCTGACATAGTATTTAACTTGTATGTATTAAAAGAAAATTTTAATAAATAAAAATTAAAGAAATAAAAATTAATAGTACTATTGTTTTATTAAAAAGAACACTACTTTTAAAACATCTAAACATTGCTTAACGTTTTATTTAATTAAAATTGTCTAGTTGTTTTAACTAACAACTGAATTCCTAAAAGAAATTAAAGCAAACTTTGTTTTAATTTTTTCAAAATTAAGAACAGCTAAAGATCTATAGAATTAAAAATTTAAAAATAATGATAAAAGAAAAAAAAAATTCTTTAAAATTAAGAAAGAATGGTTAGAAAAATACAGTTAAATTAAATATTAAACGTTTTAAAAATTGGATCCTTGTCATTTAACGTCACGAAACCAACATAGTCTTCATAGATAGATGAAATTTAAAATCGTCTTTGCTGTGCATTTTGAGCAAGCATCCTCGAATGGTAAATTATGTGCTTTATTACATTGGCGACTTAAGTCAGAGTTGTGATGGTTCACAAGAAACAAAAGCTGATATATTGGTGTGAGGATGCAAGTATTAAATGGATATTTCACAATGTATCAATATATCGTCCAGTCCTAATGTTGAACAACTGTATTGTATTTCAATATAACCTCCAATGCAATTTATTTCTGCAATTAAGGAGACAGAATTTTGTGTATGGTTTATTAGGTTTTTTTTTTTTGCTTGTGTATAATAATAAACATTGCGAGGTCAAACAAGTGGAGTAGATTTTAATTTTACCAGCTTGTCCACTTCAAAAGTCTATACATACCTTTTTTGCTAATTTTTCAAACTTTGATGACTTTACTATGGCATATTTTAAATTTTTTTTTGGTTTTTTATTTTATGAAGGTGACTGTCGGAGGGAATCAATTTGTGTATGTCTGGGTGGCAGAAAACTGTGTTTATTTTTAACGTGGTTAATTTTTTAAAGGTATAATTCTAATACACTGAGTCTCATTCCCAAGTGATGAGTCCTGCTTTCCTCTTGTAAGTTCAAAAATTTTTATTACTGGCAGAAAAATTCTTAAAAACTTTATAAGCTTTGCCAGCAATGTTACTATTCAAAACTCTTGCCAGAATGAAACTATTTCATGCTTGAACAATATTTTCGAATGTATTTTTAACAAACCCATGTTAGGCATTATTACAAAGAAGCATGAATAAGGAATGATGTAATTGAATTATATTGCTCATTGGTTGTTTTACGTAATTAAGTACTGGTGGAGTAAATGCAGAACAAAAAAAGTATAATCATAAATCTTACTGGCAAATGTGTGTTCTTTATTATTTTTTATTACACTATCTTATTTTTTTTTGTTTAGAGGTTCTTTTTTTCTTCCCCTTACTCTTTTATACCTTTTATCTAGCCCATCCATCATCTTGACAAGTTTCAAATTTCAGGGGTCCCTTAATATGTATTTTATGGTTATTCTAATTAAATATTTTTACAACCTGGCATGTAATACTGAAAAAATCTATGCCTGGTCAGAACTTTTACAAATGCCAATTTTCAATGAAACAGGACGGCTAATTTTTGATATATACATCAGTAATTTTTGTTTCAATCTCTGTTTGACAATAGAAAAATTAAAAGAATGAAGAGGAAAATGAATAAGTCTAAGATCCAAGTATTTAGTAGATAATTTATACATAAAAGAGTTTTAAAGTCATTTTTGTTCAACTCTGAGTGGCTGTCTTTCTTTTTCAAAACTTGATTCTTAAATTAAACTGGAAATCAACCCTGTGCACAGGTGGTATAATTGTAGCTGTTCTGGAGCTGCATTAATTAGGACAAGCTGTGGGAGTCAATGGACAGTTCTTCTTAGACTCCCCAGTAGTCATCTTTGTGCTTTACGACATGTGTCTACTCTTAAGTTTAATTTAAAAAATAGCAGGAAAAATACATTTTCTAATGTAAATTTATACTAACATTATTGTATACTACTAAAAAGTGGCATTAAATAATGATGAAGTATGTCATTTTCCTATCGTGACCAGCTAAGGGAAGATCCCTCTTATATACATTACTAAATCAACAATTAGCTATTATATTTTTGTTTGCATGTCAAGTTGAATTGTTAAACAAATTATATGCCTATTCAAAATCATCAGTTATTCTTGTTCATCATGTTAGTATATTTCTGGAAAAAAAATGGATATTTTAGGTATAATTATTTATTGAAAACAGTAATTAACAATTGAAAGTGTTTTTCTGAAATAATTTTAATGTTTTAAGTGCTTAAAAATATTGTTTGAATTTTTATTTTACTCAAAAAAAAACTTTGAGTGAATAAAAATCCATGACCTAGATATATCTTTCTGCTTCTACTTCAGAACTGTCTTATCAAAGCTATGCTTTAAAAAAACCGGAGACATTCAAGTATCAGCAGGTTTCCACTTCTAATTGCTTGTCTACTGATTATGCAACGATTGCTTGCAAAGGTAAACATCTGTTTTGAAGATGAAAACATGCCTGTAAATTAGCTCTCAGATGTATTAGTCAGAAGATATACACTTGTCATTTAGCTGTCAAGTTCCAATGTTTGAAATAACATTTGTTTGAGGTTTTTCAATTTGCCCTTGTTCACCTCTTATCAGTTTTCTATTTTATTCGTAGGCTATCATTACAAGTTTTCATTGCTACTTGCTTGTTAGAATGAATGGAAGTGAATTGTCCCCGATTATTTTGTCTGTACTTTTTTGATATTTGCATTTACTCTTACATGGAATTTCTCAAATCATCATACTTGCACCACCCAAATTTTTTTCACAATAACGAGTTTACTACAATTTTTATAAAGCTATGTTTGAATAAAGATAAATTTGGCTAAACTTGTTTCTAACTTAATACGATTTTTTTATAATTAATTTGCACCATTAGTTTTAAAATTACAGATAAGATACAATAAGAGTAACAAAGTACTCACACCTTTGACCACTATTCTTGCATATTTTCCTGATTGTGGTTGCAACTATAAATTAAGGGTCAAGAATTCAAATTTGAAGATAAAATATGATTATCTATGGAAAGTAAAGTGCAGATTTTTTCAATACATTTCAGTAAGAAAAATAAAATCTATATATCTTTTAAATATATTTCATTTTCTAATTCCTCTTCTTTTTTTATATTCGTTATGGGATTTCTTTTATGACTCTCTCATTTATTGCCCTCATTATAAGATCAGACTTGTTTAAGTACATTCAATATAACTCCTGAGGGCCATCCTCAAATGATGTCCTGCTTGGATGGGAAGGTGAGAGTTAATGAAATTGTAACATTTGGAAGGCAGAGAGTAATATGAAGTGCAAAATCGCACATTTTGGTTGAAATGATAAATAAAATCAACAAATTAAATATTTTTATATCTTTGCATATTTTGATCAAAATGAGTTCACATATAATCATAATTATTGTTGTGCTCACAAAAACCATTAATACACATAAAGTTACAATAAAATTTGAAATATGATTTATTGCATACTACATTTTTCTGAACTACAAGAATAAGTATGTAATACATATAACCTGACATGTGACAAGTTTGGTAGAGGGTATTGTGAAGTGTGACAAGGGGGAAGAGAGGATCAGAAATATAGAAAAAAAATGTGACACAATGGATATAATCTGTAAAGGTTTTTCAAATGATAGTTTATTGTTTTTATTTTAGATCAATTTTTTCATATTTTAGCCTTTAAAAATACTTTTCTATAGTATATTAATAAGAATACTGAACTTACGAAATTGAAATGGAATCACTATTAACTAACCAATTGTATACCAATTTTCTTATGAATGAGTTTTAAGGAAAAACAAGGCATTGTGCATTTGTTTTTCCACTAAATATAAATTAATTTTTTCTTATATTACTTCAATACAATATATTGCACAGTTTTCTTATTCCTTACTATTATGCAATATACATCAGAATATTTTTATTATAATGTTTGTTTTTTTTTTTTTTAGAAACTGAAAAAAATTCTTGATGGAAGAAATAAACGGTGATGGCCTACTTACGTGGTATTTTTAAAAATGGCATTACAAAATTTTGTGTTGTAGACAAAGACTTCTAGTTCAATTCAAAACAAATCTGGCTATTAATTGTTTTAACAAGTTTTTGATAAACAGTATGTGATAATGATTATGAAGCAAATGAATAGCTATTGATGATGAAACGAAAGTTTTTGCAGATTTTTTTTTCATAAATAATTTGAATAGTTTTCTCAAATTTCCTACTTCATGTTTGCAACACCAAATAAGTACAACCATTTTTCCAAATGTATGTACATAGACATGTTTTCTCTAGTTTTCATTAAAACATGTTCAAATTCTGTTTTTATTTATTGATTGTTTAAAAGTTAATGTGCCAAGAATGATACACATGTTTTTAACATTATATTTATTGCTTTGAGACTTTTTTTTACAGTAATAAAAGTCACCCAATTTGTTGTTATGTGTTTCCTGAGTTTAGCATTACATTAAAATCTACAATTTAACAAGAATTTTTTTTTTTCTTGATGATGATACAAATATTATTCTAGATTAAATATATGTATAAAATATAATGACAGGTTTGCTTTCGAATCTTAAGCTAGAACCTGAACATTAGTATAGTAATATCATGTACTGATGCAAGATTGGCAGTGAAAATGCAAAGTTTAGTTTCATTAATTTTACAAAAATATTGTCGAATATCGTTCCAATAGGTTTTTTAAAAGCAAAGAAGGTGTAAATTAGAATTATATTATAAATTTTGGTTGCATATTTTCAAAAGAAATAAGAAAATATGTTTTATTTCTGTCTGGTACACACATCACAGATAGTGATGGAATTACTATACTAGATTTCGCTAATACTACTAAATATGTGTTTACACTTTGAAAGATTCCATTTTAACATTTAAATCTACTGTGTTGCATAAATCACTTTTCATTCTTGCCCATCATAATTAATTAGATTTTTACTATTACCAAAAAAAAACTTAGACTTAGTTCGCTGTACTTTTTTTACAAATATATATATAATAATTTGAAGAACATTCCTAAATTTATAAAAATGTAGCTTAAAAGATAAATTCCTAAGTTCAAAGGAATAAAACTAGACATAGTAATATGAAATAAACTTTATTTACTCATTGATATCACAGTTTAATTACAAGCCAAATTTTGCTTTTAAATCTTCCTTAGTTTAGAGACAGCTAGTTTTTAAAAGCAGGAAATATGCAGTTGAGGCATGATAAAAACCTAAAATGAATTTTATAAATATGATGCGCACAGATTTATGAGCTAAAAATTATTTTTATAAAATGGAACTAAAATATATTTTATCCCTACTGATTTATATTCAGAATTTTTGGTTTTATTTTTTAACATTTTTTTTATTTTTTATATGTAAATAGTATATCATCATCAATTATAGTGCTTTTACCCATATTTCATTGAAAAATTAATAAAATTTCAATTAATTGTCTCTCTTTTGATATCCCCCAAATGTTTAACAAACTAATTATAATTTGTATCTTAAGACAAAAATTTGCTAGAATACATAAATGCGGAATACATGTGCTGTTTAGCTATGCTCTTATAATTTTAAACTTTCCAATAAATCAATTTAAAGCTAAGAAAGATATCCATCATGTTTTTAAATTACAATATTTAGAAATTACAAAGGGTGTAACATCACCAATATTATGAAGTAATTATACAGGGCTACTAGAATCTGGATTTTTTTTAAGTTGTAGAAATATTGAAAAGGATGTTTTATGCTGTTCAAATTAAACAATATTTTTAAATTCAAAAAAAAAAATATAAATGTGTTCAAAAAACCTTAGATATGTTTTTATAATGTTCAAGGGGAAGCTAAATTGAAACATTTTCAGTTGTTTTAAACTTGAGCTACTACTAATTGCCTTTTTCCAGTTTGTAACAACTGTGTTATATTTAAAAATTTTATTTCTTCTGTCGATACTCTATATTTATATTTAAATGAATTAAAATTAGTTTATTTCATTATTTACTAAAATAATTGTTTCTAATTAATGAAATTAATTTTGATTTATTTTTTAAATTCTTGTTATGCTATTATATTATTGCTTAATATCAGGGTTCTCACTGCTGCATGGCAATGTGGCAAATTTCAAAAAAAAATTTTATTTGACAATAAAATGAACGACTGTATTTGCAAAATTGTGAGATCTGGAAATTATCTTTTTTTCCTTTTCAGAAATTCTCTCAACTACTTTAATGTTACGAACCATATTTTACGAAGAGTAATTTATTTTCCTTTCTTGACCTTACAAAAGTTTTAGTGTAGGTACAATTATTTTGATAGTTTCTATAGCCCTCAGCTGAAATTAGATTAGTAACTGCAGAGGGAACTTATTTAGCTTAAAATAATTTTCTCTTGGCTAATATTTTTCTCTTGGCTTAGCTAATATCTTTTTATGCAGATTAGCGAGTTGCCTAGATTTTTCAGAAGCCCGTGAGAACACTGCTGGTTATATTATTTTGTAACTAATTATATAAAGCCTACCATTGCTTAAGTGGGCTTAAAAATCATGGATTTTTCAAATTAACAAAAAAAAATTTTAATTACCTAAGCATTTTCTATTTGTTTATTAGGAAAAATATCTCTTTTAGGCAAATTTATTTCTTATTTACCTTCTCTTTCATGAAATATTTTCTTGGAGTTGGAAAAAATTGGCAAACATAATTATGCAAAGTAGAGATGATCAAGGAAGCAAAAGTTTCAAAGTGATGCAGATTACTCAATGTAAAATCCAGAACTTGGGTTCAAATGAAAATATCAAGAGAAGAGAAGAAAAAAAAAAACAATTTTGTTAAAGAATTTGGGCACATAGAATTCAAAGAAAGCAATGCATGGCTACAAAATTTTACAAAAATGAATTTTGTTAAAATATATAGTGAGAGTGCTCACAAGAAAACTGAAAAAGTGAATTTGAGTGTTTTTCAAAAATATTATTTATAAAATAATAAATTATCTTTTACACATGGCTTTTTTTTTTCTTTAACATTGGAAACAGGTCAAAATGCTTTTGTCACAAAATTGCCAACAGCTTCCTGTATCACCCACAGGCAATTTTCACAAAAAAAAAAGAAAACTGGTTGTGGCTTGTATTATAGAATTTCAAAAGATTGCTGAGATTTCTATCTGGCATCAAAACTTAACAACTGGCAATGAGTTGCAGTTAATTATTTTAGTGCACACATCTATGAATTTCTTGCAGTACAGGTGGTCAAGTAACCAACATTTAGCAAGTGGTTCATGGTCAATCAACAGCATTTTAAATCTTGATCAGAAAGAATAAAAGTTCGCTACCATACCATGCAGTGAACAAAACAACAACAAATCTGTAATATTATTTTTAAAAAATTTTACTTGCCTTAAGAATGAAATATTTGAAAATTTAATTTGATAGTTCCTTTTCATTTTATTTTGGTAGCTATTACTGTGAAATTTGCATTACATATGGAAATGAAATTTTTTTGACTGCTTATAATTTCTAATTAAATTAATGAAATGATAAACTCTAAATTTTCGCCCTTTTTTCGGAATGTGTCATTTTTATAAATGTAAGAAAATCCTACATGTGTGTGTGCGAAAATTATTTCAATATTATTAGTACTGATGAAATTTTGTGTGTGTGCAAAAATTATTTCAATATTATTAGTACTGATGAAATTTGATATAACTGGTGCGAAAATTAATGAGCTAAATCAAATGCTTCACTGAAAGTTATATTTAAGAAAGTTTTACCTAATCGATCATGCACAGGTTAAGTTATTTATATCTTACATCAACTACTTTAAATATAATTGAAAACATGTATAAAAGTATTATGTAAGTAAAAATGTACCTAAAAAAAAAATTTTTTTTTATATGTAAATTGATATAACCAGTTTGTTCAAATCATCATATTCGAGAAATAGCATACTAATACAAAGATTTCTAATCGCGTACGTTGAACGTTTAGCTAAAACGTACTTTCACCATTGCCTGACTCTTCTGTCTCTCCTTCCTGTCTTAATTTGCAAAATATCAATGGCTGGCGAGCTTTCTTGTCCATGTGTTATTAGAAACAACAGACAGTATGATCACGTTTATCTTCCAAAAACCGGGAGAAAATACTAGTACTGTCATTCTTGCAGGATTTAAATTTATTTCCTCAAAATAAGCCATGAAAAACTAATTTAAGAATTGTTAAAAAAATTTTTTTAAAGAGAGGACAAAATTTTTTCTAACTTTAGAAATAAGAGTACTAAACTACAAAAAAATTATACTTTTATAGCTGTAAAATGTTAGCAAAATAAATGTTAGTGCCAATTTTCAAAAGTAAAAAATATCTGCTCATAATTCTTTTTTTATTATCTTATAAATTTCACTCTTTGTGTAATCAGGAGGCTAATTTTGTTGTCGATTAATTTTCCTTTTACGTAGAAAAATTCTAGGAATTTTAAATTTAAGGAAAATACGCTATTTTAATTACTCCAAAACTAATTCGAAAATTTAACCATCTTCAGACATAAAAATGCATGACGGCCAAAAATCGTAATTCTCTTATTAATAATTTTTACCGAACTACATTATGCTGTGATTTCGCAAAAATAAATAGAAAAGCTCAATTTAATTTAAAAGTTTTCTGAATATTAAGTCAAATGTCTCACTCCATGGCTGTTCTTGAACATAATACTAAATTTATATTGTTTTGCTCATACTGAATGTACAAAGGGAGTAGTAGAGTACTTAATTAGTTCATAAGCGCATTTTCCTTGGAAAATAATAATAAAAGATACTAGCACCTAAAAATTCCTATTATTATAAAATGCTTTCTAAAATAGCACAAAATAAATATGATTGCATGATTGCAGCTATACTTTTTAATTTAAACTTAAAAAAAAAAATTATGTACCAATATTTAAGAGAAGTTATTTGTAAATTTTTATTTTCAAATCTTAGCCCCTGAATCTTCCTTCGCGGGACCTAAGACGATTTATGTGAACCCTGGCACATTTCCTAAATCAGAGTTGGCATTTTTTTTATTTTTAAAAAACAGCTTTTGAAGTGTCCACAGGGAAAACCTTCATCCCGTGTTAAAGCTAGATTACTTAGAAGTTTCATTTGGGTAGTGTAAAAAGTTATAGAAATTATTAATTAGCTGTATTACAAAATTAACAACTTAAAATATAACTATTTTTAAATGTGAATTCATGTCTTTAAACTTTAAATATTTATTAAAAAATAATAGGAATTCAAAATAGTGTTTAAAAAACTTTTCTATCTTAAGCTTTCCAAAACTCGCAATTAAAGTTTAATTTCGCACGAACAATGCTTAAACTCTTAAGAAATTGGTATAAAACTATAATGATGAAAATTTTTTAAAATAATGATTAAATTATCATTATTAACTAAGAATCTCGTCTTTAAAATA